TCAAAGATAATACAGGACGACAATGTTTGGTGGCAACAGTTTGAAAAGGGAAATGGACATTCAAAGTGATTCGACGCAAAATAGCAACAATACAACGAAAACAATACTCCCTCAGGGACAAAACCCCTTTGGATTAATAAAATAAAAGAAACTGATTTTAAAATAATGACATTTTAAAACGAAGCCATGATTTATGAAAATGTGCAGTAACTAAATGCATATAAAAGATGTGTTCCCAATGAAATTAAAAAAATCCAGAAATTTTTATAGATTTTTTGATTTAGAATGACATATTTAAGCTTTTCAGAGTTCTCTGCTTTAAAGAGGCGTGGCTTCAAAAATATGTGACATTGAAAAATGACTTTGTATAAAAGAGAACGGAGCGAGGCAATAAAGTGACAATTTCAGGTTGAGCGATAGATTTCCGGTTCTGGTTCGTCGCTAGTTGTACATTTAACGGCAGGGGAAGTCGAAGAAGTGTTTTTACTTTCCCTATAGGGGACAAAAAGGACCACAGAAAAGCGTCCGCGGACACCATGCCGAGAGGCAGTCGTCAAATGAAAAAAGAACCATGGATTTTTTCCCGCCGATTTTTAGCCTTAACGCCGTTTTCTGCTAACATATGCACGGTTTTAGATGTTCTCTTTCTCTAAATCCATCCATCTCAACTTAATAACAAAGGTAAAAACGAAGTGGGGGAAATAATAATCGCTTGTCTTCGAATTCTGGAAAATATATAATTTAGAATAATTGATTTACAGAAATAATTCAGAGTTTTATTTCAGTTTGAAATTACTAATCATTAGTATTTAATTACCTTTTTCCATATTTATTATTCAATCACATTATCGTCTGTCTGTGAATTTCTGGGAAAAAAATTCTTTAAAGAAAAGAATTAGTTCTTATAATTTAATTTATTAGCTTTTAGAGTTATGATTTTCTTTCTTCATTTTGTTAGTCATTCATATTATTACAGATGAACCGGGATTTAAGAATCATTTTGAACCGGCTGAAAAGCTCACTGAATTCACATCACATAGGTAAATGCGCAATAGATTTTTTTTTTAATTTCCTTTGTCACATTCCTCTATGAAGGAATCTCTTCCTTAAGAAGACAATCCTCACATGTTTTGCCATAACTGGTTAACAGACATCAAAGCAATAATGCGCCCTTTAGGGGACATCAAAGCCTTGACCAGTGAAAGACACAACCTTCTGCCTCTTAACTGGTGTGAATTCGTGAATCTCATCTGGTTTGCGTAAGGATCATAGGGATTAGCCATAATTACACACGTAACACAGCATATTTCTAGATAATTCGCATCTTTATTTATTTTTAAGGTAGGGTACGAACTGCGCCAAATTTGATCGAAGATCCTCGTCCCCCTGTTTTCTAATCCACGAACTGCGCGACGTTTCCTGTCCCCTATTTCTTTTCCAAGAATATTGGGTGCTACAAAAAGTCATTAATGGGAAATTCTATTGCCATTAATGGGACAATTCTATTGACACTGCTATAAGCCTTATTTTCGTTTATCAATATTGTAAAAATTGTGCATGCAAAACAAATATTAATTTGAAGTCTGGCGTGTGCTAAAGTAAAAATAAATTTCTTTTACACTCATTTTAAAGTTTTATTATGCTTAAAGGAATGATGAGCCAGATCTTTTTTATTCTCTGTAAGAATTAAAAACTTTCCAAGTTGTAGATTTTAATCGCTGATTTATATATATATATCACTTTAGAATAGTAAAATTGATAGATTAATGACATACACAAAACTGATACATAATCAACGTATCAAATATCGGATTTGTAGGTCACCTTAAATAAGTTTCTTGTCTAGATAAATATTAACAAATCTTCTTAGATAGCAGAATGGTTTTAACTTTCAAATTTATCGTTTTAGGTAAACAGTTCTACTTTAATTTAAAAAATTCTCTTTATTAAATCTAAAAATTGGACTTCTCAAGTCGTTCTAAATTCACACTAATATTATTGCAATATATTCCCGTATTAAGCTTTCCATTTGTAATCAATGAAGTTTTTAAGGTTATTTAACTTTGTTACAAATTCCATGTTTTAATACTAGAAACGTTTAAATAGTTATTCTGTTTTCCACCTGATGTACTTTGGCATACATTTAATTTCTAATACACATTTAATTAATAAATTAATAATTATGAGCGTCAACGGAATTTTCATAATTAACAAACAAAAAAAAATCAAACTCCCTTATATTCATATCCTGGGATTTTCAGTTCCCTTTTAATCCTCCTTTTTCACATATTGTTGCACTGTATTCAAGTTTTCATGTATGTAGAATTTATATACTTTGTATTGTATTTATGCCAATTTATATTTAAATGATAATTTTTACAAATTCTTGCATCACAACTCTAGTTAATAGAAGATGTTTCTAACACCTTGGCAAAGCTTAATCTTCAGCATGTAGCTTATTTTCCAACCTAGTTTCAGGTTGAATTATTTGTAAAATTAATTACTTGAAATTTAATGAAGTAAAAATACTTTTTAACTTATTCTTTAAAAATATTGCAAAAATTTTCACCTTTACCTTAGCATATATTTTTACAAATCCCTCTAATAAGAAAAAAATAAGGAAAGTAATTAACTCGGTTTCGATGATTGATACCTCGGTGCAAATTATATGTAACATTTTTCCAAAAATAGAATTAGGTACAATAAATAAATTATTTCTCCATCTAATAAATTTTATTCCAGAATTTCTTTTCACACTGGCGCTTTTTATGATTTTCTAACATTCATTCTAGCATGCACTTGCATCCTTTGACAGATTATATTTAACCACTTACACTCTAAATTCGAAAGAGTCCTATCCGACTCTAAAGGAGTGATATCCCACCTCCCTCTAATGCCAAAATGGCACCAACCTCGAAGGAGCGATATTTCACTCTAGTAAAAAGCGGTCCCTTTTCACACAAAAACAGGAGTGACCCTTTCTTCGTTCGCTCTTCTTCGATAGTCAGATATCGCCCGATATTCGGGTGAAACCACACACATTACAAGGAGTTATAATAATAGTCTGCTCACTCCTTGATGGTGCGATTTTTATATAATTATTTTATAGGCAAACTGAAAATTGGTATTTGCTATGTAAACTTTATAGCTGATGTATTGTTTTAGATATCTGGTTAATATTATCTCTTGAAAAAAATATTTTACACTACTTTTTAACATGCTATTGTGATTTTAATTATCTGATATATACATCTGTTTTAGATTTGCTACCTATGTACTTACTTAAACATTTATTGGTGATGAGATTTCTTTCCAGATCTAACGAAATATACATATAAAAAAAACATCCATATTAAAATATTGGAAATTCGGTGTAGTTAACATTCTGAAATACTTAACACTATCACTTTCTCACAGAATATATTTTATTTTACAGAAACATGGCTTTTGCCTTTATGTGTAGTAAGCAATAAAAATAAGAACGTCAATGCAACTTATATATAAAAACTGGATTATGAATCAAAGTAGACCATCACTGAAATTAAAAAACACAGTTTAAAGACAATCATATCTTCATTGTTTAGACATATAGTTTTTCTTTCCAAATCTAACGAAATATACATATAAAAAAATTACATCCATATTAAAATATTGGAAATTCGGTGTAGTTAACATTCTGAAATACTTAACACTATCACTTCCTCACAGTACTTCTGATGTGAAATTACTTTGAACTCACAGAATATATTTTATTTTACAGAAACATGGCTTTTACCTTTATGTGTAGTAAGCAATAAAAATAAGAACGTCAATGCAACTTATATATAAAAACTGGAATAGCAAGATATTCGCAATGAAAAACTTAGTTTTTGAATAAAAAATAAGGTTTTTCAGGTACTTAAAACTTTGAATAAATATTTCAGATATTTTCAAAATTTGATTTGAGAAATCAAAAAATGCTTAGTTTCATAAAAGAAATTTAAAAAAATCATTTTAGATGAATCATATATATATATATATATACTGATATACATTCTAAATTTTGTATACATATTTTAATTTAAAAAAGCAAATTATGCTTATTCACATGATTTGGGCACGTAATCATGTAAATTGTAAGCTAAATTTTCCATTAAATAATCATACTAGTTGGAAAAGTAATTTATTAAAAATAGTTCTTGACAAATTTTATAATGAAAATTTGAATGTGTTAGAACAGCTGATCATATATATATGTGTCAGTAAACCTGTATCATAATCTGATAGATTTAACTTCTTAAAAATGCTACTTATAAGTGAATATATTAATACAATTTGTGAATTGATGTTACTAGTAGTTTGTCTACTTGAGCATAATATGCATAAAAAATCGAATAATAAATTTTAATATACATTGAAGTAAGAAACAAATGCGAATTTAATTTCCCTTACATGAAAACTATTCAGCTTTATTTTCAATGTATGAGATTCAGAAAATAAGTAACCATAAAATACTCTCATGCTATTGTTTTTAGCTTCATATATTGCACAAAATATTGCAAAAGAAATGTTTCTATTTCTTATTACATAATTATGAAGAGCTTAAAATTAATTATTACCCCAAATTATGAATAAAGTCTAAAATCTTCAGTTAGCTTGTTACGCTTTCTATTTTTGAGAAGTTATATGCATACAAATTCCTATACATTAATCATTACAGGTGAATAAATGCTTACATATACTTTTAGACTATAACTTATTTTTATATATGCTAATTCCAAGTCTCATTTGGGAAAAATAAAGTAAATTTTAAAGTGAAATAATATGGATTATAGCTCACATGTGTAAGCTAAAAATTCATTTTTCATAATTCTGCTGAAAATGTATTTCATTTATTGATTAAATCCGAATAGGAATCATTACCATAACTGCAGAATTATAATAATTTCAATGAACGAAGTATTTTAAATATAAGTGAAAACAAGCAATGCATGAAAAACTCTTTATTAGGAAATATATGTACATATATAAAAATGGAAAATATGACACTAAAATATGACAATAAAATGACATTAAAAACATGAAATGTAATGCATGTACAAAATGCAATAAATTCACACTCAAACATGTATTTAAAGAGTCCACACAAGCTCTAGGAGTGCTGACATTATACAAAAGGCTTGCAACAAAATTATAAAAATTTGTTGATGTATGTGCATATTGAACGCTAAATACAAAATTAGTTTTAAATAGAATGTCAAATGCCTTCATGGCATGATTTGGGCATGCTATTAAGTGATTTACTGCTTTAATATAGAATGAACTTGTAATACACACTATAATGGGCTGTTTATTCTGAGCTGGTCCAAGAGATTCCATGTCTTCTATTCCCTGAAAATAAATTTCTTTATTAAGAATACATCCATTACCTATCTATTAGGACAAGTCAAATACCAATGAGCCATACTAGAAAGTTTATCTTTCCAATTAAAAAATATCGCCAGAAAATTTTTTCTTCTTTCAAAAATAAGTAATTCCTAGTAATTTTATTCACATAGAGGTCTTTTGCTTTTAGTTTCTGTAAAAATGCAGTATAAAATACATATAGGAATATGTAAATATTATATTGATGCAAATATAGAATAGGATAGTCTATTTGTGCGTTGCTTCTTAATGAAAAATGTAATAAATAATGTACATAAAAATGTAAAAAGAACAAACTATATGGAGAATTAGTCTGTCTTTTCCTTATGAAAACAAGTATCATCCCTTCATAATAAACTATTGTTATTGTAAAGATGTTTGTTCTTGATTTCATGATCGCTATAGTCTGGCTGGAAGTGTATATTTTGAATTTCACCTTGAAGCAATTTTTCCATCACTTTACAAGTTTAAAAAAAAAAAAAAAAAAAAATCTATGTTCACTGTATATACATGCATATATATGATTAGTGTCATGCTTTAGATTTAGATCATATAAAGGCATCACACATATTACAAACCATCTTATTCTCTCGAAATATTTGCTAGTATGTAGGTGACATTCAAATCAATGCAATTCCAATTCTACAGAAATTAGCTAAATGACCATGCATCATCTGTGGGTACAATAGTCGAAAGCAGCCTGAGAAGATGAATTTTAGCCACATGAGGCCAAATACATTCACTGTTGTAAAATGGCTCATTTTAATATAATCTGCCCTCTTAAAATGAAAGTTAGTGCAAAGCATATCAAAATTCCTCAATACTTACATTTAGCAAATATTAGAAGTGCAGAATTTGGATTTTTTTTTTTTTTTTTTTTTTTTTTCAAATAACAGCCTGATGCTAAAATACTTGCTTTGCCTTTACCCTACAAAAATAAAAATAAAAGTATATATAAAAGACATATACTGGATAAAAATTGCATGTGAAATGTAATAATTAATTGAAACTATATAAATATCACACATGAACCTTTCAAGATAGAATATGTAGCAAATTTCAAAGTATATGCAGCTCAGCTCACTTACATATAGTATCAATAGCTTATTTACATATACATACACTGCAAACTAAAAATATTATCCTATGAAAAGAATTTTATAGCTAAGCATATGAAATTATTTTTTATGCATAGACTTATGCCAAATATTTACTCATTAATAATGAATAAAACCTTTGTCCCTCTTTCTTTCCAATAATTTTAGCTGAGCAAAAGTTCTGTGAGCAAAACTAATGCTTTTAGGTCATCTATATATATATATATACACATGTTTATTACATAATGATTACAAAAATATCATTAAAAAGGCCTTTGGCACTAGAGGCACATGCATTTACAGCTTATCTTTACGAGCCAGAAGAAAAAACTATAAGCCATTTAAGAATAAAGACCAATGTGAGTAATAGATGCAAAATTACTTTACTCTAGGTAATTAAAAAGTAAACAAAGAAAAGTTTTAAAGTATTCTATCATTTATAATCCTAGTTAAATTTTTAAAGATTTTTACCACTGAAATCAGCAATACTTGGTACCAGAAGATCAGGGCGTTTTGTTTCCACATATTTCAAAATTCTTGGGACATAAAAAGATGAAAACTGTTTTTTAAATGTCTATCATTAGAAATTGTTTCAGTTTCGATACAATTTCTTACATGGCTATTAGACAAAACCATTTCAATTGTTTTTATGACTGAAACATACTGAAATGTTTCTTTTACAATTTTGGTTTCAAATTGACCTGTTTTTGTATTCAGAGCTTGATCCAATCTACTGCCAAGCATAATTTCGACAGGTTCGATAAAATTCTGACAGCTTTTCAAAGCCTTTATTTGTCCTTTAGTTGCTGACATGCCATCAAAAATCTGCCTAATGGGAAGGATGCCTCCGTGGAGGTCTTTGTAAGGCAAACTGGTTCGTATACACGTTACACATGGAGAAAACCACAAAAAAGTCCATGCAGCCAGCTCCTTCATGCGATTCAAACTCTGGACCGAACTACCAGTGCTCAGCGACTTTGCCGCTGGTGGGTAATATTTAGGGGATGTGCATTAATGTTCGGAGAAAAAGCATGATATTAAGCATTTGTAAGTAAACAGCCTGTTAAACATGGTATTTAGGGCATATAAATTAAAATGAGCGCAGGGGCGTAGCTAGAGGGGGCAAGGGGCATCTGTTCCCCGGGGGCGCGAGGATATACAGGTAAACATAACGTAAGCTTTTTGCAAGCGTTTAACATATTATCTTAGAAGGAAACATTCTTTGCGTAGCAAGTTTTTCGAAGGCAGGTGAAAGGAAATATGGTAACTTTGAACATTCTGCAGTTCAGGCAAAATGGAAGCAGTTCCAAATACTGATATACATCTGTAAATTTTTTTCATGACTGTTGCGAGAAGAATTTTGCAAAGTACAAATGGATTAAAAAACACCTAAGACTGAGAAATTGTACCATACTGTCTACAAATCAGCTGATAGAGTAGTAAATCAAACTTTTAGAATACTATTAATGATTTTGTGTATAAGGAAAACAAACAAAATAGTACTTTACGGTATTAGAATTAATGTTTTATTTCAAAAATAAACCCAGATATTTTGTTTTTATATATATCATTTTGACATTTTATAGACTTTTTATTGTGCACTGAGCGAGGCAGCAAGAACTCTGGCTACACCTCTAACAGTGTTCACATAACTTAGTTATTGAAAATGTAAACAAGCTGTGTTACCTGGGTCTTTAAATCCTATCTAAACCAGAAAATGAATTCATATGAGTTTATTAAAATCAGATTACTTACATTTCTTTCCTACTTTAAAGGACTGTGCATAAGAAAAGGTTTATAAGACTTGTTTGATACAACAATAGCTTTTGCTAATGTAAACAATTATATTATTTTGAACATTACTTCATCAGATCCTCTCACTCATTTTAATATCACTAGGAGAAGATATAATAACTAATTGAAATGAAAAGGCAATAATCTTGAAAAGTAATAAGTAAATGTCATTAGTTTAACTTTCTAACTATTGAGTTGATGTATATGAATTAATCTATGAATCATTTTAGAATTATCATGTTTAAATTAGTATATATTTCGACAATTTTGAAAGTATGCCTGACAAGTTTTCTTAGAAGGGGAAATAAATAAATAAAAATAACCCGTCGAATTAGGTTTTCTCCCGCAATAGAAGGGAGGGGAAGCTGTTTTTTAATTGTGCATTCTATTATCTGTTAATAAAATAAGTTAATTTTTTAAATATGATAGGCGCTGCCACAAATATAAGGCAATATTGCTTAATTTTCATATTATAAAATAAAAATGCATCAAACATTTAGGTTTTATGGCTTACATATAAAAAAGTCGTTTTGTTTCAGTTGAAATAAAAATGTTTAGACATGTACGAATTTTACTATTTAATTAAGTCTGAAAAAAACATGCCTTACATTTTTTAAAAATAAATACTGTTTTTTTTAATTTTCTTATTTGCATTAAAAGAAATAAACATTTGGTGTACATATTATATATTGGCATATACGTATATTTGTCAGTAAATACATATTTAGCATAAAATAAATACATGTATATAGCATATAAAGTCAACTGAATATCTGGAATTTTCAAAAATCCGGACTAGGTATAGTTTTTAATTTAAAACAGAGTAGAAAATAAAATTACCTTTTAGGACATTAACAGCATCTTCGGGAATTTCTTGCAGTTATAAAAATCTGATAATTTTGAACTATCATGTAATCCCTCCTGAAAAAAAAAAATATTTTATTGTGCTACAGTTTAAAAAAAAGATAAGAGGCAGATAAATTTGACAATTTGCTGTGGCACAAGTATTAGGAATATAGAACCTATGTAGAATGGACAAGGTACTAAAATTTTATGCTTGGTCTTTGATTGAAAATGAATTCTCATTAAATAGTTATCTGCATGAATTACCTGGAATATTTAATAATACAATAGTTTTCAGTTTGTCATCAGAAAATCAAAACTTACTATTTTTTTTTAAATAGCTGGGTTTTTTTTTAGTCCAAAGGGGCAATTCTCCCAGAAGGACTGTTAATTTCGTTTTGGCATTTTGCATCGATTCCCGATATGTTTCATTTCAAATTGCTGCCACCAAACATTATATTTAAAGAAATTAAATAATGAAGAATCTGCATGAATGTATGTATGTTTCTCGCATTGTAATAAAACAACGGTACCTAGAGCCAACAAAATTTGAATAAGGTAATCTTCCATAGAATATGGGCATGTGGAAGCCCTAATTTGAATTTGAAATTGGTTTTATTATTTGCTTTATTATTTAATATTTTGTAATACTTCAACGAATTTTTGATTAACAAAGTAAACGATTTCAAAGCGAGCAATGGCAAGACTGTACGAGTAAAAAAAAAAAAAAATATATATATATATATATATATATCCAGCTCGCGAGACTCTGTATTGGAAATTCTAAAGATATGTTCATTTTAAAATTATTTTGCGATATTGCTGTTGAATGTTTTTATGGTTTAATTAATGTTTTTATTTAAGTGCGAAGAACATGATATTTAATAAATAAAGGTAACACACAAAATGTTAAAAAAACGCCCCTTTGGACGTAATTTAAAATCTGAAGCTTTCAGTCTTTTTTAAAGAATGCAAGATTTTTTTTAAATCGTAAACGGAAAGCCGTCTTAGCAGCTTTATTGGCCTCCCGGACTTTTGAATGTTCAATAGGCCTTAGCTACACCTACACTCTCGAGAATAACAACATATTTGCAAAAATATAAGTTTTAGAATGCTGATATGACCCAGGTAGTGCTAGTATTTATATTTTGGAAAAATTCAGCTTTGCAACAGTAAGTGAATTTTATTGTCACAAACTATAAAGCAGAATTTATAAAAAATGAAAGTTAAAAATCTATTAAAAACTACTAGAAGCTGAAAACGATATGACTTCAATAGGAAATTCAGTAAAGTATACGGTTTTTATTTCTTCCAATACTACCAAATAATTTACACACTTGTGTTATAAAAAAAAATCAAAACTTTAGTATGCATTTTTTTTTTCCACCGCTGTTCTTCCTATTTGAAATAGGAATGCATGCAAAACTAAATTTAAATAATTAAATTCGATAGCTTTGTGTAAATTGTTCAAAAATAAAAATAATGTTAAGAATTATTTACAAAAAGTACCATCCATACGTACAGCTTTCATTGTGTTAGCAGTACGTAATAAATAAAACTACGTTACAGCATTACACTCTTAAAGCAAATTTACAGACACCTAAAAAAAAAGAGCAAACTAAAACTACTTTTTATTACATACTTAAATTTTGACACATAAATCTAACTATAATTTATAATAATTAAGATATTTATATTAAGAAATAATTGTATATATATTTTAAAAGCGAACTTACTTTTGGCAAAGGAGCTGTATCCATTGTTACGACTGTCCTCGCTTGAAATGGCGCTTAGCCAAAGAACGTTCTTTGGCTTAGCAAACTTGTTTGGTCAGTCTGGGTGGACAATGGCAAGACAGGGGGTCGTCCTGCTCCTTCAATTCACTCCCTTCCCCAAGGTTATTATTGCAAGTGGGAAACATGTTCTGCTACCAAGACAGTAAATTTGCGTTGTTTGACACGAAACGGAGCGAAAACTGCTGTCACCCTCCAAATCCCACTCTGCGAGATTTAGAGTGTATTTATCCTTTGCAACGAAAGTCGAAGGAATACGAAGCGACTATCATTATTATTCCTTTTCACAATGCAACTTTTATTTTACTCAAAGTAAAACATAAAATCAGTATGCGGCTCTGATCGTGCTTTTTGATCATGAATTAAGCTTAATGTTATGTTAATTAGCTTGTTATTAATTTAATTATACTTTTTTTAATTAATTATATGTTCAGGTATTTCCAAGTACATTACGCAAACTTTTGCATCCCAATTTTTAATTTTTGTTTAAAAAATAAACTTTTATTTATTGAGAGGCCTGATTGATTATATTAATTTGCAGTATTGTTTATCTAATTCCTTTCTTCTAGATAAATTTTAGAAAAAACTTCTTAGCATAATAATTTTAATTTATTTACAATTTATACGTCAGTGTTCCAAGTGCATAGTAATGTTGTTATAATAGATTTCATGCTAAGCTTTTTTTAAATTTAACTAAATTTAATTTCTGCAAACATTTACATGATTACTTTAATTAACAAAAAAAAAAAAAAAAATATATTTTTAGCACACTTTAACACACTTTGATATGGAATGCTTTATAATTATTTAATTTATGATATTATTATAATAAATGAAAGATGTTTGTAATGCTAATATGTATGTTAACCAATACCTTTTATTTTCTTTGTTAGCTCTCGCATTTATTACTGTTATTTAAGTAATTAGCCTGCTTGTTAGATATTTTTTACTTGTTCTTGTGATATGTAATTCTATTTCTTTATTTTTATTTTCCTCTTGGCTACAATTGGCTTCGAAAAGTTAAATTGTAACCTTGTAGGCAGCAGGGGGAAGAAATTTTGATTGGCGCAGTTGGACTATAGTTCGACCCGGGGGGGATTTTCATTAGCACAGTTGGAGTACACCCATTTTTAATATATAATATTCCTTTTCAATGTAATTTATAATACATTAGTTGAAGTCTCCGGCGTTGCCCGGCTTTTCGCAGAGTCAAGAGGCTTCATTTAGAGCAAGAAGTAGCCATTACTTTTATATCTACCGCATGCTCTGTAGGCAATAAAATTTCCTTACTTTCCATCGGATTTGAGGCAGTTCAGTTTAACGAAAATGCAAAGCAATTTTTTAAACAGAGGTTTAGTAAAAAGAACCAATTAGATTCAATTTATCCATTCATTTTACTTTGAGTATATTTATAAGAGACAGAAAATTTATTACAAAATAACAACAAGTTGTTTAAATTGAAGAAAATGAAAACCAAATGCAAAATTTTTAATTAGTTTTTAATGGAAGCTTTGGTGGTGTGCTTCAAAACTAAAGATTTCGTGTCTAGTTTCTATTTTCGTAAAGAAGACACGAAGGTCTCCTTTTTCTTATGAATTTAAGTCGACCATATTCATTCTTATGAAAGACCAGATATGCAGACGATTTCTGTCTTTGCTTATAATATGATAAGCAGCACTAAAGGTTGATTCTAGAAGATATGAGGTAGGGAAAGGTACAATTAAAATATATATAATTTTTCCACATATCCGGATGTGAGATAAGATTTTTTTTTTTTTTTTTTTTTTTTTTCTTATTTAGCCAAAGGTTTTCCTTATCCAACACTAACAGGATTATATAAACTCTCTTCATCATAGAGTTCTAATTGTTCTTCTTCGCAGGTAATATCAACCACAGCACTATTTGCAGTAACAGGATTTTCCACCCAGTCATACACCTTCAAGTAGAGAACTAAGCTTCTACGTGTGCATATATATGTATACAACCATGTATGTCTGAGTGTGTTTCGATCTTTTTTGATCTTCACGATCGGATAAAAATCTCTAATGTCTGAGCTTAAATCGCCCACTAGTGGGCAGAAGGGACCAGATCAACTATCCATGCTGTAGACGGATGATACGAGTTTTTTCGAAATCTCAAACATAGATTTTCCATTTATTTTGGTTCAACGTGAATTGCGAAAATTTTACCAAGCTCGAATAAACCTGTAGAATAGCGCAGAACTAATATGACGCCATGTAACAGTTTTAGTAAGAACTGATACTTGCTTTGTTATCGGTTATGCCTTTTCTCGCAAATTGAGCTTTTCGAAAATCACCATTCACTTTGGACTATTTCTTCACCGTTTTCGAAATGTTCGCTAAAAACTTTTATTAAAAAACACACTTAAATTCTACTTTTTACACTGTTCTAGAAAGCTCTAGACTGTTATGAAAAGTAAATGAACAATGCGCCATCTATTGGTTGTAGTAAGAACTAACAGTTGGAAAACGGCAACAGCGATGTGAATTAAGATGAGTCACATGATTTCAAAATTGGTATTATTTAGAAATAGTAGTATTTAACTTTTGTAAAAGTACAATTATAAATTCTTCGTTTAGCATGTATGATTTCTACCAATAATAGAAACGCAACAACGGCGATATGAGCATAGGATGGATGACGTGCATTCAAAATAACATCATGATGTTATTATATATATGTAATAATTTCAGAATGCGTAGATGAAAGCAGTGGATCTCCCAACAGCTTACGATACTGCGTAGATGACCGAGAAGATTGCAGTGGCTTGAAGGTGGCAGAGTGGAAAGCATGATGACGCAATTTAGCACAACATATCTTGAAAAATCACAATCTTTATTTTTTCCATGCATATCAAATCATCCTTTTTCAGACAAGATATTTCCTAATTATATTTGAATAGAATAACTCCCATTTTGAAGTACGACGTCATCTTAAGCAACTAAGCAGCAACATGGTTTAAGAGCGTCTTGCCAGCAGAAAAGGTATGCGGTAAAAAGGGCAAGGTTATAGTACTTTCATAGCAAGAAGACTGAAGTTTCAGTTCACAGTTTTGGTTTAGAGTTAATTTGATTGGACGAGAGGCATCTGCATTAAAACGTTGCATAAGATAGAAAAGTCTGGAACCTGTGAGAAGAGATGAATTTAGGGGAAGATTACCAAATTTAGAATGTTAATTTTGAGGTCGTCAGTTGTTTTTTTGAAACAGCTATCATAATTTGTTATATCTTACATAACCCCCCCTTCAAAAGAATAGTTGGGTGACCAGGGTGGAAGAACAAGCATTAGAGCAGCAAAATGTGAAAGATATAATTTTGAAAATACAAACATATTAACTTTTAAACAAAAAATTATTGTCATAAAATTTTGACCAATATTTTGAATGAATTTTGACATTTCACTGAATGTCATAAAATTTAGAATTCAAAAATAATTTTAGACGCTGTACTCTTTTAAAACAATTGCACATTTTAGTGTTCTGAGATAAGAACGTCCAATGAAATTTTGTAAAGTTCTTGATAGGTCCACATGGTAAAAGTTCAAATTTTTTCACAAAATAAATGTTCAAATAAAATTCTTTCAAAATTTTGTTGATGAAAATATTTTTATTATACTACAAATTAAGATG